CCCGCCCCCGGATTTCCATCGTGTGGCTCCGGAGACGCTGCAGGGCCGCTCGCTCCTCTGGGTTGCCCACCGCTGACTTCGGGCCTTTCGTGCGGAGCCCAGCCTGCAGCTTCCTCGCACCTTCGTGAGCAGAGGCTGCTCCAGACTTGGCTTGGGGCCACCCAGCGCCCCGCAGCCGTCCACGTGCTCCCGGGGGGTTGGGTTTGGGGGCGTGTGTACGGTGCTGTACGAACATGCGCCCCACGCTGCTGCTTTCCCCGAGCGCTGTCCCACCCCCAGCCATGTCCGCCCTGGGCTACGCAGCTCCCTGGGGACTGGGCACCCAAGGGTGCTGCCGGACTTGCACTCAGAGCTGGGTGGTGGGGAGGGAGCCAGGACTCCTGGGTTCTACCCCCGGCTCTACGAGGGCAGTGGGGGCTAGCTGTTACCCGATTTACCCAATACTCTGGGGAATGCTCATTTCTTAGGGTTACTCTTAGGGGACTGGGGGGGGGGGTTCACAATTCTATCCGTGTGCTGCTTGTGCTCTCCTATGGAGCCGAATTCTCCCTGCTCCAATTCCCCTCCCACTGGAGCGCCCCTGTAGGAAGTAGGGTCCTCAGGACGGGGTCTTCCCACCTTAGCAACACCCGGACGCTCACCCCACTAACAGCCCGTCTGAGAGGACTGGGGACTCAGCACCCACACGCTGACCCCTCCCATGTCCCTGGACTCAGCAGGCTGGGTTCACAGCAACGCCACACTGCTCCCTCGTGGGCCTTTGGACTCCGTGGGCTGTTTAACAGCAAGTGAAGCTGCCTCCTCATACACCCCCAGGTTCAACACCCCCATCCCCACTCCCACACCACAATCGTTCCCTGGGATACCACACGATAAGCAAACCCACAGGAATTTGGGCCCTCCAGGGATCTTTCGCTCGGGGACAAGAAGCCTTGTTGCAGAGCGAATGGGGAAGCCAAAACACCCCCTGAGGAAGAGTGAGCGAAAGAGAGAGACGCGACCAGCTTAATAATGAAAGTGATTTATTTCTGGGTGGTGAATAGCCACAGCTAGGGAGCCAAACACACAAACCAGTGACAATATTGAATCGAACAGTAAATCTAAACTGAAACCGGTTACAGATGTTAGGGCTAGCCAAGCATAGACCAGTTTACCTAGGGCAGGGTCAGGAGGCTAGGCTTAGAGAGGAGTTGGGGGGAAGGAGAGAGAGAGAGAGAGACCTCATCACTGCGTGGAGCTTGCACTGAGCGGGGTTCCCAGGTGGTGATGGGAGCGGGGGGTCCAGAGGGCAGGAGACAAGCAGAGCAGAGCCCCCAGCATGATCAGACAGGAGATGAAGGAAACTGAGGCAGGGTTTACATCCAGATGTCAGGGCAGTTCTTCTGGAGCAAGGGGCGGAGTTTTTGTAGGGACAGGACAATGGTTCGAGGAGACGCTGGATTTGTTTCTGGGCAAGCAGAGGCGAGGCAGTAGAGACGGATCACACCCGGCTATGGGGGACGTGCCGCGCTCACGATGCCACGGGGCAGTGTCGGTATTTTGGACGGCAGTAGGATCGTTACTAGAATTGGTCTGATCATGACTAATTTGGGGGTGAGCAGGCCTGGGTTTGTTGGAGCAGATTTCCCATCAGGCACTGCTCTGCTCCCAGAGTTCAGTGCGGTTCCTGCCTTGGAAGAGCTGGTCTCTATTCTGCGTGCTAATGGAGAGGTCTCTCTGCTCCATCGTCCATGCAGAGGAGGCTGGGGTGTTTCCTTAATTCTATCACCCTTGTCTGGGGGAGTTTAGGTGGGTCTTCCCCGGCCTTTTCCTTGCTTTGTCATCCATGCTAGCAGAGGCCTGGGGAAGGGGGGATGGGGGTCCATGATTGTCACTCCCTGGCTCCCCACGAGCACAGAGCTGGTAGGTAAAATAGCGGTTAGAGAAACAGGGGCTGGGAGCCAGGACTCCTGAGTTCTACCCCCAGTTCTGGGGGGGCAGTGGGGGCTAGTGGTTAGAGCAGAGAGGCTGGATGCTAGGACTCCTGAGTTCTACCCCCAGTTCTGGGAGGGCAGTGGGGACTAGTGGTTAGAGCAGAGAGGCTGGATGCTAGGACTCCTGAGTTCTACCCCCAGTTCTGGGAGGGCAGTGGGGACTAGTGGTTAGAGCAGAGAGGCTGGATGCTAGGACTCCTGAGTTCTACCCCCAGTTCTGGGAGGGCAGTGGGGACTAGTGGTTAGAGCAGAGAGGCTGGGCGCCAGGACTCCTGGGTTCTCGCCCCAGTTCGGGGAGGGGGCCATGATGGGTTGGAGTCCTAGTTTCTCTCCCCCAGCTTGGGGAAGGGGGTGTGGCCTAGTGCTTAGGGCTGTGAGCCAACGCTCTGGGGAGTGGAGTCTAGTGGTTAAAAGCACGGGCGGGGTGAGATGTTCTCATTGCACTCTTGGGTATCTGATTACCATGTGGCCGGAAAGGGCTCCCCAGCTGGAAGGGCGGCCCCTAAGAAAGGCCTAACGCCCGCGGGTCTGGCTGGAGAGGCAGGCGGTTGCTCGGGGCCTGTGCGCCCGGCTGCTCCCGGAGCCCCGATTCAGGGCCCATTGCTGCCGACACCGGCCAGTTGCCAGCGTGCTTGGGAGGCAGACAGTTCTCCAAAAGCCTTTTGGGCTGCGCCAGGCCAGCATCTCTGCCTTAAGCCTGGCCCCCAGGTCTGGCGGTGTCTGATCTTCCCACTAGCCTGCGCTCCCTTGGCTCTCCAAGCCCCTCTGTGGCTCGGCTCGGGGGGAGCTGGCAGGAGCCGCGCCCGGTGCTCCGGGATGGGCGCTGTGTTTGGCGGGGGCGGAGGGCGGGGGCCCGGGGGGGGTTGGCCGCCACAGAAGCTGCTTTGTGCTGGCTTGGGGAATATAAATAGTGGAGTAAGCCCTGGTTCAGGGATTGGCCGTCCCATTTCCTGCACTGCACCCGAAGTGAGTCACTTCAGCCGGCTACCCTGGGACCCTCTGCCCTCCTGGGTCCTGTCCCTGCTCTGGGAGGGGAGTGGAGGCTAGTGGTTAGAGCAGGGGGCTGGGAGCCAGGATTCCTGGGTCCTGTCCCTGCTTTGAGAGGGGAGTGGAGCCTAGTGGTTAGAGCAGGGGGCTGGGAGCCAGGTGTCTCGGGCGCGATGGGGAAGCCGGTGCACACTCCACGGTGTGGCAACCGTTCAGCTGCTTTGCCCAGCGTGACTGTGCCGGGGCAGCAACGGGCGCTGTAGCGCCGGGCGTTTCCATACGCATGCCAGCGATAATGGGTGGGGGCAGGACTCCTGGGTCCTCTCCCCAACACGGGAGGGGCCTGGGGTCTAGCGGTCGTGTCTCGGGCGCGATGGGGAAGCCGGTGCACACTCCACGGTGTGGCAACCGTTCAGCTGCTTTGCCCAGCGTGACTGTGCCGGGGCAGCAACGGGCGCTGTAGCGCCGGGCGTTTCCATACGCATGCCAGCGATAATGGGTGGGGGCAGGACTCCTGGGTCCTCTCCCCAACACGGGAGGGGCCTGGGGTCTAGCGGTCAGAGCGGGGGCTGCTGGGAGCCAGGGGGGGCTGGGATCTGACCCTGGGACTGGGTGGGGAGTGGGGTCTAGCAGTTAGAGCAGGCAGGTTGGGATCTGGTCCTGGCCCTGGCTCTGGGCAGAGAGAGGGGCCTAGTGGTTAGAGCAGGAGGGCTGGACTCAGGCCTGGCTCTGGGCAGAGAGAGGGGCCTAGTGGTTAGAGCAGGAGGGCTGGACTCAGGCCTGGCTCTGGGCAGAGAGAGGGGCCTAGTGGTTAGAGCAGGAGGGCTGGACTCAGGCCTGGCTCTGGGCAGAGAGAGGGGCCTAGTGGTTAGAGCAGGAGGGCTGGACTCAGGCCTGGCTCTGGGCAGAGAGAGGGGCCTAGTGGTTAGAGCAGGAGGGCTGGACTCAGGCCTGGCTCTGGGCAGAGAGAGGGGCCTAGTGGTTAGAGCAGGAGGGCTGGACTCAGGCCTGGCTCTGGGCAGAGAGAGGGGCCTAGTGGTTAGAGCAGGAGGGCTGGACTC